GACCCCAGCTGGCTGTAGGGTGTGTGAGGGAAGCCAAGCTGCCAGAGGACCCAGCTCTCTGCTCCTCAGAGCCTCCCAGGACGGGGCTGAGGACTGAGGTTTGAGGTTACTCTAGGCCTTTGGTGTCATTGGTTCTCAGGCCCAGAGGGCCCAGGAAAGAAACCGGGGCAGGGATGAGGCAGTCAGGAGTGGGTGGAAAATATATACCTTGGTGACTGTATACCTCAGGGCCCCAGTGCCCTGAGGAAGTTGGCCAAAGGAAGTAGATAAGACCCTACGTTCACACTGCAGGCCGGTCAGGACTGACCGATACCGATTCAGCTGTAAGTGCTTCCATGTTACACGTAATCGCTCTGTAATGCTGGCCCGGCTCCCCACCCGCAGACAGTGTGGCCGGCGATTTGGCCCTAGCTCAGCGGTTGTGAGAATCAGAAACACTGAGGTGTATATACCACAGGGCCGAAGCTCGGCTTAAATCCTTGTGTGTTCTGTGGACCAGCAGCATCGGCATTACCTGGGAGCTTGTTAGAAATTCAGAATTTGGGTCCCACCCCAGACCCACTGAATTAGAATCTTCCTTGTAACAAGAGCCTAACGTAATTCATATGTGTACGTTAAAGTCTGTGGGGAGCTGCTTTAAATGTTGGCGGGGAGAGGACAGGGTGAGTCGTGCTGGGTAGGGTAGGGAAGGGTTCTGTATTTTGAGAGGAGTGGGTCCTGGGAGAGTTGAAAACACTCGCCTGCGTGGCAGCCCCAAACACGCCCACCTGAGCTATTTTTGGGCCTGCAGCGGTGACTGCCACCTCACCTCCAGCTCTTCCAAGGGCTCTGCTGCTGGGAGGGGAGTATGTCGTGTGATCTCTCGTTTTATAGCTAGGCTTTCTTTCTTTTTTTTTAATTGAATTTATTGGGGTGACATTGGTGAATAAAATTATACAGGTTTCAGGTGTGCAGTTCTATATAATACATCATCTGTATATTGCATTCTGTGCTCACCGCCCAGAGGCTCGTCTCCCTCGTCACAGTATATTTGCCCCCTTTTGCCCCCCTCATCCTCACTAACCCCCTTTCCCTCTGGTTACCACTCTCCTGTTGTCTGCGTTCTTGAGTTTACTTTCTTTTAGATGTCACATTCTCTGTGTCTGTGACATCTCTGGCTGGACCCTCTTAAGCTTTTCTAGGATCTGTTATAGCCAGTTACACAACTTAGTGCTTCTTTCTAAGAATCTAAACAAGGAGTATACGTTCCTAAAATTTAATCCCATCAGTGCTAGAATCTGTGATAGCCAAAAGCAGTCTTAGAATTTTGCATATGGAATTTGCCTCTTAGTGACCTGATAGAAAAAGATTTTTGTTTTTATTAGTTTTTAGCCTTTGGAGGGAAGATTTATATTTTGGGAGAGATGGAGAGGAGAGTCTTCAGAGACTGGGTGCCAAAGGCCAAGGCCATCATACTCTCACTACACAGGTCCCCTTGTCTGGGGTGCAATGTTATGTCTCTTAAACACGGGAACAAGGGAGTTGTTTTCACCACTGTGGGAGAACCTCATTCTGCTATTAAATGTGAGGAAGAGGCTAGGCGACTCCTGGCTAAAATCTTACCTGATCAACACTTCCTTTACTTGAAAAAGAAAAAGAAGCGATGGGAGTTTATGAAGAAATTCTCTACCTCTTGCCAAGGGCCAGAGGCCAGCTGAGCATCCTCTACAAAGAGGCTCAGCCTAATAGAATGTGCTAAGAGGTGACCAAGTGCAAGAACCACATGGTCCCAGGGACATTAGCTAAGGGAACAAGTTTCCTTTAGAATGTTTCTTTCACTAATAAGTAACCAGTTCTCCCAGTGGTGGGGCATTTGGTTAATCATTACGTAGATGTTAGTAACTGTCCCTTCTGCTAGGCACATAGCTCCTACAAGGTCAGACTCTACTCATTAGCCTGGGGCCCAGTGGTAAATCCCCTCCCCCCCGTTCCTCAGGTTGGTCCCAAGAGAACTGACTCGGCAGGGTACGCTGTCGCTCTAGAATAGCACATGACTAATCCTAAGACTGCATCCGTCCTACCCCACCTGGGAAGCCCATGCTATTCTGTGCTACACAGAAATGCTCAATGGCCTGTTACACACACATGTCGAAGTTGCCACTCAGTGTTCAGTCCTAAAATCATGTGTGGACTGTGAGTAAAACTCAAAGCTTACTTCTTCAACGTAAATATTGTTTATCTTATAAAAGAAAAATCCTACCACAGCTGTATCCTATATCTTACTCTCTGGCAGAACACATCAAATCATGTTCCCTTACATAGCTCGAAACTGCTGGATTGGTGAATAAATTCTTGCTCTCCGTTTCTTGTGTCCTTACAGTCTTAATCACCTGCCCTGTCAAGGATCTTAGCTAAGTCAGTGTATATCTGAATGCACTTCCTTACAGTCTTATCTTTATCTAAATTCCTCTTTATTTATTAACCTTCATACAAAGTGCTAGAGTTTCTGTTCTTTCCCCGTGTTTGTTTTACTTCTGCTGAGCTGTGCCCCTCTGTGTTCTCTGGCCATCTCTGGCAGCCCATCGACTCTGCGCTTGACCATTTTGTATTCCTCCTACACACAGGGGAAACAAAATGCCCTAAGATCTAAGAGAGCTAAGGAGCAGACTTTCTGCCTGGGGCAAGGGAAGGCACCTGAGGAGGTAACGTCTGAGCTGGGCCCAAGGCCCGTGGTTCACCAGGTGTGGTAGGTGGCCAGAGGGTTTCGGAAGGAGACAGGCCACAAAGAGAGAACCACAGGATGTGCCAAGGACCTGTCAATAGCACTTGCTAGAAAAATAATTGCCTTAATTACTCAGAGAATCAGTTACAGTAATGTATTATTCTAGGGATATATTTCCCTACATCAGGAAGTGAGTGGTTTCATCTGGGGGCCTGGAAATTTTTTCTTTATAATAAGTAGGCTTTAGTTTCCATTATTATGTCTGTTTTAACCAAATGATTGAGAAATAATCTATGTAATCTGCCACATCATTTTAACTGTGCTTTTTCTTGAGGAGGGTTTAATAATGAGCCAGATGTACTAAAAAAAAGTTCATCATTCAGAAAAGTATTTTCATTGTGCTTGATTGTCAAAATTTTCCCCTCCGTTGAAAGAGGTGCTAATTCTTTCAAGAGGAACCAGGTGCAAAGGAAGGGAATTATCTCAGTGGTCCAATGTGTAGATGCATAAACAGCCATAGAATAATTGGACTAGAAGAATGCTAGACATTCTTTGGCTGTGTCTTTGTATTATTGGCGAGGAATCTAGGAATAGGAGAAATTGCCCACAGTGCCATGGTCACTGACGTAAGCGTCACTGCAAGCCTCCCCCCAGCCTCCCCAGTTCCTACACCCCTTCCTCACACTTTCTTATGCAGATGGAACAGGGTACCCTGGACTGCAAAAGCCTTTTTTCCTAATGTTTTAGAGTCATCCCAGCAGAAATGATCTGAGATTTCTATTTAAGGCTTTGAGTTACAATTATGTAAAGGATTTGAACTGTTACTCAGATCCTAATGGGCAGTTCTTTATTTGGTAGAACATTTCTATCGAGGATTTTAAAGAAGGTCTGACTAATAGGTTCCAAAATTTGGATACCATCAACAGTGTTAACCATATAAATAAACCTTTGCCCTTCTAAAATGTAAGGTCAAAGCATGTTCTTTGATAGTTATTACACGACTTCTTTTCTTTGCTTCAGGATACTTTTGTCTTCAGTGACACTGCTGTCTATATATTCCATAAACCTTCTGTTGATCTGCTCAAAGGAAACAGGTAAACTGATAATAGGTCTGATTTTGTTAACTCCAGGATGGATGATTTTGATGGTGAAATTGTAAACAAACTATGCTTTCCCTGTTCAGAAACTTGATTATTAAAGAAAAAGAGTACTTTGACCTATAGTCACTGGAAGACCTCTAGTAGTATTTACCTAGAGAAATGGATACAGCAACTATAAATTAAGTTGTCGTGAACAGTGATCAATAATGTTGTCATTTAAAGTAAACCCTCAATTACACCTTTTTTTTTCTTTCTAGTTTAAGATGGCTTCATTTTAAAGGCTTTGGTTTTTCCTTGGCTCTTTATAAATTCAGAACAAGGATCCCATGTTTTTTATATTACAGCCTCCAAGTTTTAAAAGTAAACAGAGCTTTCGTTCTCTTTTGTGCCTATTCCAAGGAGAAAATGCTACTCCCGAGGCAACGTGGGAGTGAGTGTGCTATGAAAAGATTTCAAGTACCCTGGGTAGTGTAATACCTGAAGTGTTTATTTTCTAGTCCTTGGCATACTGGATTATGTTTGTAATACTTTGACTTTTACATTAGCTAAAACCACGTCGGCCAGCTATTATTGTATATAGACGACTCCATTTAACTGGAACATTTTGTAATAAATTGGGGATCTAACCGTTGTCTGGTTTAAACACCAGTCTTATGAGAGATTAAACAAAAGTTTGATTTAGCCTGACCCATATTACTTTCTGTGAACCTTTTGAAAATCTGAGCTGAATTGTCATAAGGAAATATAAACACTTAAAAAAATGGTTTGGAATCTTAGTATTTATTGAGATAGGCTAGTTGAACACTTTAGAATTTGCTATAACCAAATTATTCTTTAGATAGACTTTCCTGCTGCTCTCTTTGGTGAGCTGCTTATCTTTGAACTAAATTTTACAAACAATCGGAATTCTGATGTGACTGCTACATGTTTCTGAATGTGTTAGCATATTTAGGACACAAGAGGCATTGATGGAATATGATTAAGATAATTCTTTGTTAGCATAAATATTTAGGTTATTAATTCAAAAAGAAACTTTTAACCCAACCATCAGGGTTTTTATTTTTAAATCAAATCTGTATTTTAATGATAATCACAAGACCTGAGAATATGATCAGAGTGGGAATTTCCCACCAGTAAAGTAAATGGACTGTTTGAAGTAGTAAAAAATAAGCCTTATAACCTAATGGTTTCATTGTAATTGCTTTTATAGCCAACTTGAAAAAAGATAATTTGTGGTCATGTCTGACAATTTAAAATGTCAAGAGGTGGTTTTATAATGAGAATGGCTTTAACCCTTGCAAAGCCAAGAAGGCCATTTGTATGGTTTCGAGAAAAATGCGAAATAACTTGGGGAATCGTTAATAGCATGATGAAATCTTAGCCAGTTTTAACTTTTAGCACCCTGTCATTTCTTGTGTTCTCAAATACGATTTCTAAATAGGCTGCATGGTTTATGAAAAGCTGGGAGAACAGGTCTTTGGCACCACGGGGAAGTTTGTAATCTTTGGAGCCACCTCTCTCCAGAACACCGGAGGTAAAAACAAAAACCAACATGCTTTTCTATACATAACTTTAAAGTAGGTGAACATTATGTTTTCTAATTCTGGAGGTTGGGTGGCCACATGAACTTTAACATAATTCAAGAAGTTATTCTCATTGCTAAAATGACACATGGAAAGTAAAGCAGAGACAGCAGTCACTTATTTAAAACCAAGGACACTGCAAGAGTATCTAAAGCTGTCTTCGTGTCTTATTGAAGGTTAGTCTAAGAGCAGGCTGGTAACCTTTTATATAGCTTGCAACATGAGCCTTAGTATCTTCTTTCTAAAATGTTCTCATTTCCCTCTAGCAATGCTGAGCTACCTCTTCATAGTAAAAAATGAGCTGCCCTCTGCCATAAAGTTTCTAATGGGAAAGGAAGAGACATTTTCGTAAGTTATAGACCTTTTTTTAAAAAACAAAACAAAACTAAAATGTTTTTCATTTAAATGTGGGCTAACCAAAGTTCTTTTTTTATGAAAATTACCGAAACAAAGTTTTCCCTGGGGTGTTTTTTTCTTTGTTTGTTGTTTCAACAAGTTTCTCTGGAGTTATATAAATAAAAGGAGCAGAGAGAACCACTTGAATGGGAGCATTTAAAAGGTAGATTCATTTGTCAGGCTGCAAATGGTAGATGCTGCATTTTCTTAAGAGCCTGAGATCTATGTATAGTTTCTGTGGAATAGAACAGATATGGAGTATTTTTTAACACAGAAGTGGAACATACAAAAAAAATTAAGACCCTTTTTTAAAGAAGGGACATAGAATTTTGGAAGCAAAATTTACATGAGCTACCTTCATTAAAATGCAGTTAACCCTGGAAAATGTTGCAGCTACATTTGGCACAGCCATTATGTTTTGACTCTCTCTTGTTTAACAGTTCTTGTCAGTCTTAGTTTCTCTGTTTTCTTTCAAGGGAGAATCATAAAAGACATAGTTCCTAGTGTTCTATAATGAGAATTCAAGGTCAAATACGAGAGAATAGGGAGAGAGCAATGCCTACCTGTGGTGACTTGTTTTTTGAGGATATTAGCCAAGCAAAACAAAAAGGAACTTTCTCTTTAAATAATTGATGACACAAGTTGTAATTTGACAGAATGCAATGTGTGCATTCAGCTTTGAGACCACATAAATAATTTAAAGGAATGCTACACTTAGCCAATGGGGGAGGAAATAAAAACAATATCCCTTCTTCCATCACATGGGAGAAAGACAATAGTAAATGAGTAGTGGTTGCATTAAAGTGTTTGGATAAAACCTGAATAATGATAAAAAATTATAATAGTAAAAAAATTCATTAAAATATATTGTGAAATTTTACACTGGGGG